TATATATGTAAATATGTATGTCTGTAACTATGTGTTTGTATGTCTGTGGTATGTGTGTATGTCTGTGTGTGTGAAAAAAATGTTTTTGAACGTTCACCTGTTTAGTAGATAACTCCCTATATCAGTACTCTTATGTTTGATTGCTGTATTTAAGGATAGCAAATTGGGTAGCTGATTAACCCTTATTTGGGCAGATGCGAAGAGGGGCAGAGGGAAAATCTGAGAGACACAGGGGCAGAGAACCTGTGAATCTGCAGGTTTGCAGTATATTAAGAGAGATGGTTTAAAGGACCAATGAGACAGCCACTAGAGGAAATAGGGGGAAGGCTTAACCCATTCATAAACATAGCAGTTTCTCTGAAACTCCTATGTTTATGAAAAAATGGGTTAACCCTAGCTGGACCAGGCACCCAGACCACTTCATTAAGCTGAAGTGGTCTGGGTGCCTAGAGTGGTCCTTTAAGTATTAGAGATGGTTTAAGTATAAGGAGATGGAAAAGAGACATGGAGATGAGGGAGTGGAAAAGAAACACATTTAAGGATGAGGAGACAGAAAAAGAGACATTAAAGGGATACTCCAGGCACCCAGACCACGTCTGGCCATTGGAGTGGACTGGGTGCCAACTCCCACCACCCTTAAGTTTTTATAAAATGCAATAATTACCTTGCAGGGTTAAGTCTTCCTCTAGTGGCCGTCTATCAGACAGATACTAGAGGGACTTCCGTGTTCTTAGAACACGAAAAGTGTTTTTAAGCGACGCTGGACGTCCTCGCGTTATGTGAGGACATCCATTGTTGCCAAAATCCCCATAGGAAAGTTTTTAATAATGCCTTTCTATGGGGAGGTTTAATGCGCATGTGCGGCCATTGTCGCGCATGCGCATTAGGTCTCCCCAGACGGCTGACGTCGGCGGGGGAGGAGAGTAGGCGGAGCCTGCTCTAGCGCCGAGGGACATTGGCGCTGGACTCCGGTAAGTCACTGAAGGGGTTTTAACCCCTTCAGCAACTTGGGATGGGGGGTGGGAGGGAGAGGGGCAGAGCAGGGTCCTGCAGTGCAAGGAAAAATGAGGATGAGATGGTAAATAAGAGACAAATACAGTAAGAAGGGAGTTAAATAAATGAATGCATTCTTCTGATTGTCTAAGTACTAAAGTTAATTAAAAGTATTTTTCAAGTGAATTTAAAAGAGGATTTTTGATAGGCCACAGGGATTTGCATAATATGTGTAAATGTGGCTTTCCTATAGGGTGTCTCTTGTAGCTGTGCCCCTCCCCCCCCCTACAAAAAAAAAAGTGTTAGATGATCAGCTTTGTACATATGAGGGTGGTATATCAAAGCAACACATGTTGACAAGCATTCTATTTTTTTTACCATGGTGATTACTCATTATTTAGCACTTTGCCTTAGAATGAACACTTGCTTTCCCTTGATAAAGCTCCCCTATAATATTTTGTTGCAGCAATCACATTTCTAGAAATACTGTATATGAGTGTTATGATATATGGTAAGAAGAGTTGAGCGGACACCTGGATGTTCGGGTCCGGCGGGTTCGGGCGAACTTTGAAAAAAAGTCCGGGTTCGTGATCGAACTTGACCCCGAACCTCATTGAAGCCAATGGGGAACCGAACTTTTGGCCACAAAAATGCCTCTAAAAAGTCCTGGAAAGGGCTAGAGGGCTGCAAAAGGAAGTAAAATGGGAGTAAGAGTAGGACAAGTGTCCTGCAAACAAATGTGGATAGGGAAACCACTTAAAATAACACAAAAATTAAAAATACAGCTGAGCCATAAAATAGCACTAGATGGAATATTTGATTTTAGCTTTGGAAGAACACAAATCAAAATCTAAAGCATGGCTGTCAGGAGGATCAACAGAATTATCCATTTGAGAGAGGGTTGGAGTGCAGGGTATTCTCTTTCGTTGTTCAAACTGAGCTCAACTCCTGATGCATGGAGAAAAGGCATTCACAAGCCTCTGCTATTGTGTACATAGTTTATACTAAGTGACTCAAAGGTTGAGGAGGCGGTGACCATGGCAGTGTAGGTGGAAGCTGGAAGCGGTGGTAGAGGAGGAGGTAACCAACACTGTTTATATATATATATATATATATATATATATATATATGATTTTAATTGGGGTAGCCCCCAAAATATTGGGACATACAAAAAAAGAAACATTTGCGGCCTGTGGTGCATTTCTTGCAGTCCTGATGCATGGAGAAATGCTCAACTCCTGATGCATGGAGAAAAGGCCTTCACAAGCCTCTGCTAATGTGTACATAGTTTATACTAAGTGACCCATAGGTTGAGGAGGCGGTGACCGTGGCGGTGTAGGTGGAAGCAGCAGTGGAGGAGGAGGAGGTAGCCAACACTGTTTTTTATTTGTTTTTTTTGTTTTTTGTTTTTTTTAATTGGGGTAGTCCCCAAAATATTGGGACATATAAAAAAATAAACATTTGCGGCCTGCGGTGCATTTCTTGCAGTACTGATGCATGGAGAAATGCTCAACTCCTGATGCATGGAGAAAAGGCCTTCACAAGCCTCTGCTATTGTGTACATCATTTATACTAAGTGACCCATAGGTTGAGGAGGCGGTGACCGTGGCGGTGTAGGTGGAAACGGCCGTGGAGGAGGAGGATGAGGTAGCCAACACTGTATAAATATATCTATTTTTTATTTTATTTGGGTAGCCCCCAAAATATTGGGACATACAAACAAAACACAACTCTGTTCCGCAGAGTAGCTGTTGACATTATAGTTACGCAAGCACTTTGTTGACTCTAGAGAACCTCGGGCCAATCGCACATCCCCGTGACGGCGACTTTGCGTTCGGATGTCATCCATATCAATTTTCGATGCCAGTTTCTGTGCTTACCATAGTGACCACGGGTAATGGGGAATCAGGGTTCCGTACAGAGACCCTGAGAAAAGGCTACCATGTGCAAGGAAGGCAGCAGGCGTGGAATTGACCCACTCCCGACGCGGGAAGGTACTGACGACAAATAACAATACAGGACTCTTTAGAGGCCCTGTAATTGTAATAAGTCCACTTGAAATCCTTTAACTCTGATCAATTGGAGGGAAGTCTGGTGCAGAGCCACTGACCCGTGCGTGCTGCAGCTGAAACTCCACTATCGCCTGCTGCTGCTCAAACAGTCTCTCCAGCATGTGCAAGGTGGAGTTCCACCTTGTGGGCACGTCGCATATGAGGCAGTGAGCGGGAAGGGCAAACTTACGCTGCAGGGCAGACAGGCGAGCAGCAGCAGGGTGAGAATGCCGAAAGCGCGCACAACCGCTACAGTGAATGTCACATCCTGTTCCAAGCTGCGGATCAGTCTGGTGATGGCTTTTGGTATCCAGTACTCTTTTTACTGAAGCTGCATCAGGGTCCTGGTATGCTGCCTTCAACATGGATGCTGTCCAGGAAGTAGGAGGGTCTGGGAGGGAGGGTCTGCCGGAGATTGGCAGGGATGTGTCAGCTGACCGGAGTTCGCCGCGAACGGTTCGTGGCGAACCGTGGCGAACCATTCGCGGCAGGTTCGCGAATGGTTCGCGACATCACTAGTGAAGAGCACCTCACTAATGTACTATTTAGCACCAAAAAAATTGACTTTTTAAAACTCCGATGTCACCGCGGTATTTGACGCTTCTATTTGACTCTCAGATATGAGGTGCACCCCACTAATGTACTAGTTTGCAGAATTCTTTCCTAAGCTGTCCCTCACAGCGGCAGCATCCTCTCCCTACACTAATAAGAGCTCATGTGCGTGCGGCGCTACGCGACTCCAGCTTATATATAGAGGCTGGGTCACATGCTGCACTGGCCAATCACAGCCATGCCATTAGTAGGCATGGCTGCGATGGCTTCTAAGGGCACACGAGTCAAACGCTTGTTGATTTGCACCATTAAATCGCAGAACACCGGACTCCAACCCGAACATAAAGTGATATGTCCGTGTTTGGGTACGGGGTCCAAAAAAGGTAATGTTCGGTACGAACCCGAAGTTTACAGTCCAGGTTCGCTCAACTCTAATGGTAAGCATTAACACAACATGTATGAAGTCCAGGGCAGGTAATTTGAATGAGATACAGCCTTGATCAAGCTAATAACAAAGCAAACAATACAAATATTTATTGTGTCAACAGATTAGAAAAAATACTAACAATTAGCAGTGCAGTGTGCAAATGTTAATTACTGATGTACAAACATAAAGCCATGTGCAAACTAGATCAGGTCACATAAAGATGACCTAATAATGTTAAGTGCTCAATGAATTACATTCATCAAAGCAAAAACTAAAGAGGATACCCATAACTAATAAGTGATTTATTTATCTGAGTGGATCTATACAATAATAAAGAAAAAGGTAAATAATACAAAACATGTTTGATGACATCATCACATCATAAAACTATCGAGACCAAAATGTCAACATCAAGCTTCCTTTAAAATAGAAAAACCTAAAATACAAATATCATCGAAGGTGCATTTACACGATTGTGCTGGATCCAGGTGCATTTATATATACAACTAAATAAAAAGACCACAAGAGATCCAAATGTTGGAAAGGTAACGTCAGAAGGATATTATGATCTAAAAAAGTGATCAGAATGCCAATCACATGGCCATGATTGCAAGTGAATAGATATTCAACCAAAAAAGAAAAATCAATGTTAAGTAAAACAACAAGCGCCCCACCAAACAAGTGACAAAAGTAAAGATAAAAAAGTGCTTAAGTGGATCCCATTAATTCCCAACAGTGAAGTAGAGTGCTATAGCAAAAACTATAAAATATATACAGTGATGGAAATTGTACCGTCTATGACCTACACAGCAGAGCTCTTTGTAGCTCTATAAATTGTGAGTGAGTTTTTGCTATAGCACTCTACTTCACTGTGTTAAAGACATACTGCACTATTATTGTCTATCTTTTTCCTTTTTCTTTGAGATACCATGCACTGTATAACAGCCAAAGACTTCATAGACTTAACAAAAGTACGTACACATGATTTATATTTGACTTCACTTTTGTGCATTACAGTGTTCTAAGGCGCTGTTATCTATTTTTTATATTTGTCTACACTCCCATTTTATTCTTGGCAAGTCACTGGTCTTTAGACAACTCGGAATACAGACAGGAATTTATTTTCTTATTATATATATATATAAAATAATATTCTATTTACACTCCATTCTTATCTGGTAGAATATTTGCCCACAGAGAAAATTCTGTATTAAAGATAATGGATTTGGTACTGTAGATAAATTGATAAATATATATGGTATAATGCTTTTGACATGACATTTCGATATAATCAAGAATGATTATAGAGATATCATTTTAATCTGCTAGTGAACTATAAATAACCCAATAGCAATTGAATAACTGTCATGACACGAATCACTATGTATGTATTCACTAATTATTAATAAATCATTAAGTAGTTCTTGAATGGTCTTAAACTCATTCTAGCATGAAATTGGTAATGCATAATCTGCAAAAGTTTAGTAGATTGTCATAGAATCACATTATCATTATTCATTCTATACTTCATATATGCTTATTTTAAAATGTCATATAATGAGATGATAGGTAGATAATCCTAAAATCATAAGTTGTGGAAAAAAACACTATATATATATATATATATATATCTGTCTTTGGTAAACTAATACGGTTTTAGCAGCAAATATATATATATATGTATGTATGTATATATGTATGTACAATATACAATTGTATTGAAGGATAACCACGTATCCCTTTAATAGGAGCCTAATATGTGTCCTACAAAGTGCCAAGTTCAACTGTAGTGGATCTCAGTTCTGAATAGCTAATTGTATGATGTTTCCAAAGATATTCTTACTATAGTTGAGAGTTAGACACTGGGCAGGTCAGTATGTCCAAACAAGATTAGTGTGTATATAGCGCTTAAAATAAAGATGAAATAACCAGCTCTAACAACACTCGTGTGGGAATGCCTCCTCCCCACACCTCAAATCGTGAAAATTAGGAAATATACAGATACTACGGTAGATCTATATTAGAGTGGAGCACTACATGGAAAGTGGAACATGCATAGATAATAATGCTTACCCCTCAAGGTATGTAGGGGGAAGTGTAGCGTCAGATGAAAATATGTAATAATAAAAACACATAAAGAATATGGTGCAGATAGTATAAAGTGCTAGTAATTCAATATTTCGTGGTATATATCAACTCACATGGACTTGAGCCTGTTTGGTAACTGGCTCAGGAGAAGGAGCCTTTATGCTCTTAGGGCAGCATCACTCTAGTAGATATAAGATGAATATTCTCCAGACATAAAAAGGAATAGAAAGTATACAGTAGTGCAGAGAGTTATCAATAGTAATGACTTGGCGTATATATAAAGATGTTAAGCTCACCTTATTCAGAACCTCAGAAGCCTGGCTCTGAGGTGGAAAAGTGAAGTGTCAAGTTATGGGGTGACACTACCCCTACTGATGAGTCGAAGTCACAATCTCATGTCTGGACACTGGATAAACTCAACAATGGTTTATTAGTAATAAAAATATGTATAAAAACAAATAAATATAAAAGCAAATGTTGAGATTAGTCCAATAAATGCAGATCCTGCTGCCAAAATGTGTTTCACTTAAAAATAAGCTTCCTCAGTCGACTATTGCTTGAGGACACATGGGTTGTTTTTTATATGGTGGACCCAGGATCCTTCTTCCGGTCATGTGGGGTATTTCCACCCAAAAGAAAGGCTTACTCGTTTATTCACTACACATGTGTGTATCGGCAGCTGTTTATGACGTGCAAACTACTCTTAACACGTCACTTACCAGCCCTCCGGTCTCCTACATTCACCATCATATTATGGGTGGAAGTGGCGCTGCAATCCTTCATGATACGTCACTTCCACCCACAAAAAATGCAATCGACTGCAGCACCTACATAGGAGCAGCAGGCGAAACTGTAGAATATGCTCATAAACAGCAAAGGATGGAAAAAAAATGGAAAATGTGTCATCACCTGGAGAGGTGGTAATATTAAAAACATTTTAGGTAAAACAGAGATGGAATGGGTATTTAATTTAAAACCCCTAATCCCCATGGTCTGAATGCAGACTTTAACTTGTTTAATTTTATTTAATTTTATATATTTTTATTTATACTGTACATCTGTAATTATTCTGTTGTACCACCTTCATGTTCATAGCTATTTACTATGATTTTAATTGAGATATTGTATTTTACTGTATTTAATATGTTTACATATATACCCTTCTATACCACTTATTTTATAACTGCTTTCCCACTTCCCTTTTTTAGTTTATTGCCCTGTCACCTCGGTCTAGTCGTGCCAACCAAATCATGGCTCTATGCCAATCTCTCCCTTTGGATAACACTTTCATTACTTGCTATCTATATGCCGAGATCGCTCATTCCCATGCCTCTCCTACTCAGCCAACCACACAGATCTTGTGTGGAGCTGTCTTGTAACTATACTGGGCGGATTCTCAAGTGTACCTTACAAACTACATTACCCACAATATCTCTTAACACATACTACCCCTATGTCACATGACCTGTTTGTACCATGCAATATTCTTATATATCTAATGCTGGTGTTTGATGATATTTAAAAGTATAATAATGTTGATTTCAGGATTACTCTGACTATATTATTTTTATCCTTGTTTGATATAATCTGTATATTTGATTTTTTAATTGGCTAATTGAATTTTAGGCCCCAATTTTAATTCCTATGTACCTCTATATAAACCAGGTATGCCAGGTTACTACTTTTATCGCATTTTGAAGAAGCCACATATGGTGAAACACGTTAATGGTTATTTTAATTGTGTATTTTAAGCAATACAAGTCTTTTGGTTACCTAAGTTGTACAAATTTTCTTTTTTTTTTTCTTTTTTTTTCTTTTTTTTAATTCTTTATTTTTGTTGTGGAGAATTTCCACTGGTTTTGGCAATATAAAACATGCATCCA